TGCAATTACATTGAGCAACAAGTTTCAGAGACCTTGACTTTACACCTGAAGAACCGAAGCACTTGATTTAATAAAGAGAAGGGTTAGGTTTTGTTTGAGGCAACTTTCTTGCTGCTTCCTAAAGTAATTTTTTAGAACAAAAATTAAATTTTTATTTTAAAAAACTGATTTAAGAAGAAGTAAGAAAGCTGTCCCCAACAAAGTCTTAGGCCTCGTTTGGGACGGCTTTCTTTATGCTTCTTAAAGCAGCTTTTTAGTACAAAATTAAAAAAAAAATTGTTCTAGAAAGCTGTTTTAAGAAGCAAAAAGGAAGCTGTCTCAAACGAAGTCTTAGTTTCGAGGTTGTTTTGCAGAACCAGCAATTGCAAAGTTTGCTCCTTTTCTAATATATGAGCCTAGAGACAACAGAAATGGGTTAAGGTATCTAGTGTTCAAGCTTTCACCTGCTAATCATATACTCGAAGAACAGTCAACCACAATTTCTAACAAACTTGGAAGAATTAGACCATTTGATCCAAAATTTGTCTTAGAAGAGTTATACAGATAAAGTGGCACTGAATATATTCATAATTTATCCTTGAGGTATCAACTTTATTAAGGACAATATAGCACTTGGTTTCCAACCACATCAATCAAGTATAACAGAACTAACCAATAACCAAACTTCACAAACATTACAAGATGAAGCAGCATTGCTTACAGATTTCCATAAACAAATAGGCTAATTACACGTAAATTTGGGCAAACTATAGTTAAGTATACAAATCAAATCAAAACTCTTAATCATGAATTAAATCTTTTCAAAGGGGCTCTTAACAATTTGTCAGTACCATCAACAACAGCAAGGCTGCAAAACTTGGGTTTCAAGCAATAATCTGCAAATAAGTTAATTTATCTTGATAAGAAAATGTTTGAAAATGAAAGCTAGGCTATAGATGTTGTCGGATTAGCAGGAGACCTTACAGGATCTTTAAGATTAGTCTTCTTATGAACAATATGAGGTTCCATTTGTTCTGCTCAACAATTTCTGAATTTCATTGAATGTCTGCAAGCATTAAAATGCAGTAGATATAAGACAACCTTTCAAACGCAATCTTGTTACAGAGTTATACATAACATTTGGGGTATTATAGTTTAAAACCTTAAGAGGATATTAGTCCTAATAGGTGCATTATAAGGTGAAAAGGTCCAATGGCCCTTTAAATTGTGTAAAATCAAATACAATCTTCTAAATGGAGTGAAATATTAATAGCACAATTTCACTTGAGCTTGTTGAATAAAGAGAAACAGTTGTTAACAGGAGAATGGTGATGAAGCTGAGAAAGATTGAAGTAGTGTGGGTGGCATCCCAAATGTAAAGAGTTTAAAAAAGTTATAAAAAATATGAAAAAAAAATTATGATTTTTTTTTAGATGGACATAAGAAATGATCAAGACAAAGGTGAAAGTGTAAACAATGTGAATCAATTTACTTGTGTAATGGCATGTTTGGGGAGTGTATTATCTGCTATAATGATGACATGTAATTTTTCATTTTAATGTATTTTATGGGGTAAATTATGATAGAAATAATAAAACATTTATATATTTATTTGATTATTCATAATGCTAGTACAAACATTCCTATATAAATGCCAAAGAAAAAAGCAATAAGAAAAACACAATAAAAAAATATATTCTCCATAATAGAAATATAATATAATAATCAATGCTATAAATTTTTAATAATATTAAGCATATATGATAATACTAATATGATAATTGTTCCAGCCAAAAATATTCGTGATGGTAGAGTGGGAGTTTTTCGTCTTAGCGATGCATGAAAATTCATCACACAAACAGATAATTGAGATGACAAGAAAACACCAGAGATTCTTTTCGTGGAAAATCCAAAGAGAGAAAAATCACGAGGCCTTGCTCAGATAAAAATATTCCACTATATTGATGTAGATTATAAAAGTCGACTTGTCCCTAACTTGAAGACGGTCAAATTATAATAGTTTGAAGAGTTTGGCACGCTTCACACAGGTACCCGGGAATTTATAATAACCATGAACAAATGGCAGATGTCAGAAGTCTGGTGGTGGTGGCTGGGAGATGCTTCAGCAGAAGTTTGGCAATGGAGGCAGCCTAGTGGTTGGATGGAGTGTCAGTGGTCAGAAGAAAATCTGGTAGGTGTGGTGGTGCTTGGGAGTAGATCCGACGATAATCAATAGAAAGGCAGAAGTCCGACGGGCTTTGATGACTAGGATGAGAATTAATGGCGATGGTTGGTGGTCGGGAAGAGATCCAATGGTGGCCAACGAACAGGTTGAGATCTGACAACTGTTGGATCCAGTGGCTGCCAACGAACAGGTAGAAGTCTGGCGATGGTCGTTGGACGGGAAGAGATCCGATGGTGGCCAACGAACAGGATGAACTCTGGCGACGGTCATTGGTTGGGAAGAGATATGATGGAGGCCAACGAATAAGTTGAAGTTCAGCGACAGTCAATGGTCGGGAAGAGATTCGATGAAGACTAACGAAGAACGAAAGTTTGACGACGATTAGTAGTCGGGAAGAGATCCGACGTTGGTGTTGGCCAAAGAATGTAAGAATGCTCTCTAGTTTTCTCCTCTCTTTCTGCCTCCCTCATGTGAAGAAAGAGATTCTATTTATAGTTTTTTTAGATTGGCATGCTCAGTAAATATAAAGAAGTTCTAGGGCAAACATGAAGTATTCTATCGGATGGCTGATATCAATTCCCTCAGTCATGGAGCATTCTGTTCAGCATTTAATACCTTAATGATATTAAAATTATGCAATCTTGGGATCGTGGATTCATCTCATCAAGCCATTCGATTTGACTATAAGCATGTCATCTTTAGATATCATTTGGTCATCCAATTGCTGCTCTAAAGCTTTCAAGTATGTTTTGGTCCTTTGATTTGGATTCATTTGGGCTTGGATTGGACTGAATTTGATGCCATTGGGTTCATCTACCTGAGATGTTCAATTTGTCAATAACTTTGTTTAAATCAAAGTTTGGATGATCCCAAATTTAATTTTTTGAGACTTCCGACTCATATTTGAATCAAGATTCGTGCCCGATTAAGATGATTTTTTGGTGACATATCAATAATAAAATAATTCTAATAACTCTAATGCCCTCCCACAAAATCACGATGCTACAAGAAAATAAATTGTAAGTTTGTATGTGCAGAAGAATAGAGCGATTCAAGCCAAGAATTGTTTAATAGCATTTCAAAATTACCAATTCAAGCCAATGAACACTAGAAAAAGATGTTCTATAAAAAGCCAAGAACAACAAAGCATTTAACGTTAAGCCAACATTTGTGAAAATCAAAGGTGATGCAATCATCATGAGAGACAAGATCCTCATAGGATTTTGAAGGGATCATAATGAATCTTTATGGGATCCTTGAGAATTTGACATGTGTTTATTTATTTATTCTTGTTAAGAGTTTAATTAGGATTTTTCACTATACTAGGATATAAAATTGTGTAAATTATTTGGGAAAGGATGCACTTGAATATTCAAGCAACTATATTTTCCTCTAAAAGTAACATCCTTTGATGCTAGTTATAAATCTTGGGGTTTGAGGGTTTTGATTATAAGTTGCTAAATTGGGAAAAAACTTAATGATGTAGTGTTCTTACCTCTTTGTTATACTGTTCTTTATGATCTTATATGTGTTGTTGCATATTGAAAGAATTTAGGTCTTCAAAATGAAAATTATCACATTTCATTTTTGCATCGTATACCACCTAAGTGTGGTTGCCTAAAAATGCTATGTTATGTTCTTCATGGTAGAAGTGATATCAGAAAATTGAATGTATTTTTTGGCATGTTGCGTCTATTCTACAACAATATTTTTTACAATGCAACTGAAGTATCAAAAAATGCATCAAAATGAAAATGAGTTTACTTGTCGTCTCCATATTTCATAATTAAACTGCCAATTTGAAATCTTTAATGATCCAAATTTCACAAACATATGCATCACACTCAAGTGATAGAGAAATGCATTTGTAAGTACCTTTCAGTTAGTGTTGTTACATATCTAGAATTCTTATTAAGCTTCCTAACAGTCTACTAAGCAAATAATAAATAAAAAGAAGACCTAGTTGACTTATGGCTTTATACGACATAATTATTTTGCCTGCTTTTAAGAGAAAAAAAAAAAATTGCAAAGCAATCTTGTGATAGAGAAATTATAGTCTCATTGTAGAATTCATTTATAGCATCCATATCTTTATATGGTAATAGCTAATTTATGACTATGGACAGGGACAGGGGATGCATATGTTATACTCCTTGGAGACTCCTTGAAAACATTGATGGAGCAATACATGTTTGTCTTCTGTCATGTATTCCATAGATGGCACTCTTTGTTTTATTTTGTTGCTTAGTTAGATTTACATTTTAAGTCCTTAGTAAACTTTATTGCTATTGTCAAACTACTTATAACTTGCTTGTTAATGAGAAGATTCCTTAAAATGTCGTTAAACACTTAAACTTTGAAGTCTTGGTTTTTTTTCCTTGTGAAATTGCTCTTAGAAACTTAAAATGCCTTTTGTCTATAGTTGTCTTCTTTTCTTTTTATGTGAGAAGGTAAAGAAGTTGTGGCTGAATTTGGAATTTGAATCCACTTCAATCTACAATCTCTGAAAACCCAACCAAGCACAAATTTCCAAAACCATGTAGAATTGCTCTTCCTCTTCTCAAGTAAAAAAACAATCTAGAGTGCCGCAATTGGAAACAAGATCCTTACATGTTCTATTGTCACACAGTCTTGATCCCAAACCTGGACTCGACTGAAGTTCATCAGGCCACCAAGCAAACTACAAGTCTTGTTGATCCACTGCACAGTTAGGTTCAATGAGTTCAACTTCTATACTTTTTATGAAATTATACCATGTAGTCAACTATGCATTGCAGATTTTGATCCCCACTTTTAAAATGGGGTGATTGGTCGAGCATAGCCATATGTAAAATCACATGAAATCTAACATAAAATTATTCATAAAATCCGTTTCTCCAACTAAATTGCTTCTGCATAACTTGGCTCAACTCAGCGTTCTCTCTTCATATTAATTTGATAGGATTCCTTATAAATCAATTCCCTAAGAGATTGATTGACACCTAATTTCTCTCTTCTTTAGCTTTTCATTCAATCTCTTCTTTAGCTTTTCATTAATCAACTAAAAATTTTATATCTTTTCACATACATCTTTGATCTAACCCCACTCCAATCTTTCTATAATGGAGAAATAATAATCTCTGAATAGCTCTCAGGCTACTGGTAGCTCGGTGCAAGTGGCAACCTTCTATAGATTGAAGATATAAGTCCCTTCCAGCAGGAACTTAGCATCTTACTATCTCTAAATTTTGCTTATACATATTTCTTCTTTCTTTCTTATTCTCCTAAGCTGTAGAACGAGCAGTGACATGAATAATCCTAGGCTCCATTATCGAAGCCAAGAACGCAGAGTCATGAATTTTGGGAAAACCTTCTGCTTCGTCCTCTGATGCCAACACTTCCATCTTGAAATTCAGTGATTCATCATTGTATATCTCCCACCATTTAGCCACTAGCATCTTTATGTCCTCTCTGTCCATGTTTTGTTCTTTTCCTGTGTACCTCCATGGCTTTGATCCCTATTATAACGTGAAAACAAGTTTAAAGTCTATCAAATAAAAATTTTTAGATCATTTTCATTCATGAGAGGCATTTAATAACAAATAATTCATTCATGATTCACATTCAGGAAACTTACAGCAGCACAGTAATGAACAACCTTAACCTTGTCGAGTTCAACATTCTCTGGGTGGCGCCACAGCATGGCAAGAACGAGGTTGTATATAAGAGGAATCGGCTTATAGATTTTCCCGAAGTACATGTTGAGGAAATCCTGCCAAAGACAGATATAAATTAGAGTTTAATGGCATTTTATTATTTAAATAATGAAGCCATTACTTGCTCGGCGAAGGGAGTTGGAGTAGTATTCTTGAGGCAGTCAAGCAAAGCTTGGCAGGTGAGGCGACTGGGTTCGAACAAGAACATGCCGGCGTTGAAGTAGAGAGGCGGAGGAGATCCCATCTCCGGCGGCCACTTCACCTTCTCCGGGCACTGTTGACAATAACCAATGGAATACTGGCGGGAATGACTCCATGTTTTCTCGCAGAAGCAGTCCATCACAGCGTAGAAATGTCCGTCCGGCAAGTCGAAGAGGTGGTCGATGTTATCATAGACTTGTATGTCAGCATCCAAGTATATCAACTTGCTGTATTCATCAAACTGCAAGCAGCAGTATCAGTATCATTAAGTAAGAATAACTCGTTTTGATTCTTATTCAATAAAATAAACGAATGGCTAACACATCTATGAAAATTTGTTAAATTTAACGTTAGAGTACATAATAATTGCAAATGGAGCTATGAGTCTTTATCCGTGTGGGTGTCAAAATCAGGTTTCGGATCAAATTTGGGTCTAACATGAAACAGACCCGGCAATATTTCATTTAAAAACATGTGATTTCCTATTCGCGAGTGGTGGATGGGAGAATCGAATTTCCGATTTCGTGTACATGAGAGTTACGGGTCGGGTTTTCGGGTCATGTCTAATATTGACACCCCAACTTATTCGTGATCAAAAACTACATTAGTCGAACATGAATCTCGAGGTATATTTATATTAAAAACTTCCAAAATAAAATATGGGATTATTCGAATTTCAATTTCTGCATACTTATAATCAAATTGAATGTCTCAGTGAGATGAACCCAACGACACAAAAACTAGTCCAATCTGAGTCCAAATGGACCCAAATCAAGGAACCGAAACATATTTAATAGCTTCAAAGAATAAATTGAATAATCAAGTGATATACAAATACAACATGCTTATAGTCAAATCGAGAGGCTCGACGAGACAAATTTCAGCAAGCCTAAGATTATCCTACTGCTCTCTCTCTCTCCCCACCCCCCCTGATACATGAAGTTGCGGACATCGCATTCTCATCTTTTTTTAATTTACTTATTGTGTTTTAGAAAGTTAGAAGTTGCCTAATTATCTTGTTAATATTAGAGCCATAATTATAATAGCATGGGTTGTTATAGAATCATTGTGGGTCTTGAAAATTAATAGGTAGTTAATATTTGCTTATAAAATTTAATTAGTTATCTAATGAATCTTTTGGAATTTTATGTTATACAAACACTCCCCATTAAGGAGAACTACTGTATTAAAAAAATTTGAAGAGATTGTTCTATGAGCCCTCTCTCTCTCTCTCTAATAAATATTTTGATATTATAGGCACGTGCTCTATCCTTCTACTCTTTCCTAAATTATTTCTGAAATTTAAACAAAGAGAAAATTGTTTAATTATTTTATTTTCTCGTTATCTTCCTTTTATTAAAAATAATTTTTTAATTAAATTTACATAAGAATTTGAATTTTAACAGGACATAATGAAAATCCCACATTATAGGATAAAGGCTTATTTTTGTTGTTGCCATTATATTCTCTTCATCTTCATTCCAATGTTAGGGTCTCATCATTTTCATGGAGAATATCTTATTTGTCCTAACATAATCTATAGACACACAATTGAATAAATAATATGAAGAAAAATAAACCATATAAGATACGTGTGGATACTAGTTTTATATTTAATATTGTGTTCTAATAAATTTGTACAATTTTTTTATTAAATATTCTCTACATACCAATAAACATCAATCCATATTAGACAGATCTACATAAATCTCACAAATCTTTTATATATTTACAAATCTAATAAACAAATTTTTATATTTCTTTTAATAAAATTTAATTCTTAAATCATATAAAAAATATTATCAATATTAACTACTTTAAAATAAAATACATCTTTCTATAAATATATTTTAATGTGATTTAAGTTCTATTTGAGTACGGCTGCAAGCGAACCAAACGTTCGACGAGCTACTAGCTCGTTGTTCGGTTTGATTAAAACTCGTTTGTGATCGTTTAATTAACTAAACAAACAAACTTGAACAATATTGTAAATACTCGATTCTTAAATAAACAAACTTGAACACTAATGCGTTCAGCTCATTTATGTTCACAAACAACATCATTTGAAGTTCGTGAACAAGCTCGATTTGTGTTCGATTTTGAACTCGTGAATAAGCTCAATAAAAATAATTAATATTTGACTATAGAATTAATAAATATAAATAATCATTGTTTTTTACATAGACAATTGCTTTTATTATAAATGTGTCTGTTCATAGATATGTTCATGAACGTGTTTGTTTGATAGTTAAAAAAAATTTGTTAAATATGTTCGCGAACAAGCTCGATAAGCACTAAACGAACGAACATGAACTGAACATGAACCGAACATGAACACTCATTAATTTAAATGAACCAAACATGAACATAAACAATAAGCTCGAACAAACATGAACCAAACTTGAACAAGCTGATATTAAACGAACACAAACATGAACACTCACATACTAGGCTCGGCTCGGTTCGTTTGCAGCCCTATAATTGAGCCAACTACAACATTTTTTAAAAAAAGTAATCATTGTAAAATTTTACAGAGAAAATGATTTTATTCAAAAATTGCCACGAATATTAAAAATATTTAAAAAAAATTAAAAAATCATTTTTATAATTGATTAAAAAATAATTTTTTTTGTAAAAAAAATTTATAAAAAAAAAATATTAATCAAATAAAAACATGATTGCACATTAAAATAATATGCAAGTAAATATAATACTCAACAAAATACAAATAGCTCTAACTGAGAGAAGCGAGATAATGAATCATAGCACTACTCACGTTCCATATGCGCAGTTTGGAATAGTTGATAACATAATAAGGCATGGCGAACTGGACCTGGTTCGCCGGCGGATGGACCGGTTCTATCTCACGCACAACACATCCCTGCAGCCTTAACATCTCCCGGTGCTCCGCCGGCACATCAGGAAGAACGGCAACCACCAATTCATCATAAGCACTCTTCACTTTCCTCAATCCCTTCGCCAATCCCACCACCCCTTTCACATAATCCCCATTTCCGGCCAAAAACGTCACGTATCCCTTCTTTCCCTCCGCCGCCACCTTCCCGCCGCCGTCCACTTCAATCCCGTCTCCGGCGAGCATCGCAGGAGCCATGCTGAGCAATAGGGTGCCTGCTTGCTAAGTTTTCGAGATAGGCGCTCGTTATGGTGGACTTAGTCCGTCCATAAATAGAGGAAGGGATGAGCCTAAATGTATCCGAAATGCATGGGAAATGAAACGCAAATGAAACTTACGATGCATAGTTATTTTTCCTATGGTTTTATATTATTTTATCTGCTGGAAAAGGATGGCGATGTTATGGAGGCTCGAATGAATGACGGAGAATTCGGGACGCTTCTGGCGGGAAGTCGGGCCTTATCAAGAGAATGGACGGCTGATATTCGTTTCTCTTTGATCAATACGCTTCCAAACCAGTGAGTTATTCCGTTTCTTCGTTGTGAAGTTTGACTGTTTAGTATTATTATTATTATTATCATTTTTTAATATTGACTGTTAAATATTCAGAGTGTCCACTAGGGTGCAAATGAGTCGAGTCGAGCTCGAGTCGGAAGGTGTTCGAGTCGAGCTCAGTTGTCGAAAATCAAGCTCGAGCTCGAGCTCGAACTTGAGTCGAGCTCGACTCGGCAGAGAGAAAGCCAGCTCGTCGAGCGGGAGATCGAGTCGTCCGTCGTGGACGTCGTCGTCCGTCCGCTCCTCTTCCGCGATCGTAGTGCTGCTCGTCTTCCGCGATCGAGTCCGTCCGCTTCCTCTTCCGCGTCGAGTCGTTCGCTTCCTCTTCCGCGATCGTCCGTCTCGAGTTGCTCGTCGAGCAGGAGATCTCGTCTGCCGGAGCGTCTCAGCCGCAACATCGTCACACCGCTTCCGCGTCGTCCGTCGCCGCATCGTCCAGCAAAACTACAGTATCTTGACCCAAGATCTCGTCCGTCCTCTTCCTCTAATGCTTCATCCGTCCGAGCGTCGCAGTCGCAGACGTCGCCTATCCGTCGCAGCGTCGTCGATACTCGAGATCGAGCTGCTCGTCGAGCGGGAGATCTCGTCCACCCGAGCGTCTCAGAGGTCGACGTTTAGGTTTTCCGATTTCCCGCTCACGCGATTTGGATTTCTCGCCGTCGAGCTACTCGTCGAGCCGACGAGTCGAGTCTGGCGAATGTTCGAGCTCGATAAGCCTTCGAGCTCGAAACTGTGTTCGAGCTCGACTCGCGAGCTCGATAAGCTCGACTCGTCGAGCCAGTTACCGAGTCGAGTCCGAGCCGGCTCGCGAGCCGACTTGACTCGGTTGCACCCCTAGTGTCAAATAAAAGAAATTTAGGGTTTTATTATTTTTATATTTGATTTGTTTAATATAAAATATTTATGCATATTAAGTGAGCTCTATATTTCCGGCATATTTACATGAAATGGTTGATTGGCTTCATCGATGTTTGTTGAATTTTGGCAAGTGATTACGATGATTGTGACATACTATATATTGGGATGACTTCACCTAGTCGACCATTGGGGCTGAGTTCCTTAGTTGAGTTGGTTGAGTAACTTTGATGCTTGGAGCGACTTTGCTAAGTCATTTAAATATAATTCAAATGTAAATTTTAATAGTTTTTGGCCAAGTCCTTTTCGGTCCACATTTAACTTTCCTAACATAGTCTAGATTTAATACGTCTACTATGTTGACAATCATCGAAAGCCCAACATTTTATGTAATCAAAATCATCTAAGGCGACTCTCACTAATCTAATATGTCAAGCTACTCCAACCTTTTCACATTTGTACTCATTTCGTATTCTATCTCTAAGTAAATCCGCTCATCCAGCTAAGCACCTCATACGTTGAGCACTTAGTAGTTTAATTTTATGATTTTTTTATTGGCCAACATTTTGCGTCATAAAGGACTACAGGTATAACCATCATCTTATAAAACTTTCACTTAAATTTGAGCGGAACTTTCTTATCACTAAACAATCCTAGTGCATTCCTTCACTTCAACCATGCATCCAACTTAAATTCTAATAATAATATCATTATCTATTTTACCATCGCTTTGAATATGAAATCAAATATTTCTACTATGCTTCTTCTTTTTTAATGATTTTATCACCCAATATCACAATCCCATTACTAGACCTATTACTACTAAAATCAAACTCCATGTATTAGATTTTATATATACTCAAACCAAAAGTATCTTGACTCTAATATTGATCTCTATAACTCAACCTTTCGATCAACTCACTCTCTAGTCTTATCAACAAGAAAGATATCCTTAGTAAAAAGCATACACCAAGGCACATTCCCCTTACAAATGTCTAGTAAGAACATTCATAACTAAAGCAAAAATATATGCGCTTAAAGCTCATCATTGACATAATCCACCTAAAATATACAAATACTTGACCAAACCACCTTGTATTTGAACTCACTTTGGCTTCGTTTCGGACAACTTGCTTACTGCTAAAGCAGCTTTTTAGTAAAAAAAATTCTTGAATTAAAAAATTCTCTACTAGAAAACTGCTTTAGAAAGTAGTCTCGAATAAAGCCTTCATCCTCTTCAATGTTTAGCACAAAATTTTAGGTAATAAATGTGTAATGAAATGATTAACAATTAAAGGAAAAGTGAATGGCATTGTTTTTACTAGATTGGTTTGCTTTTGAAAACAGGATCTAAATAATTATTTGCTTTTTTTTTTCCTCCAACAGTTTGGCTTTACTCAAAAAATAATGCTAGAAATTTTAGCATACTTTGGGCTTTTAAAAAACATAAATAATTAAGGCAAAACGGAATTTAAATTGAAATATAAGATATTATTATAACTTTGCAAGAGAATTGTTTGGCATTTGAAAATAATATTTAACCATATTTTCATTTTTATATTTTATTGTTTTTATCTTATGAAATAAAAGATAATTATTTTTTTCAAATTATTTATAAGATTTGGAGGAAAAGAAAGATAATAAACATTTTACTTTTTCGCAAAAATACTTCGGAGAATTTTCATAGTGTGGCTTTCTAAAAAATTTTACTTCTTTTTTTATTTAATTTAAAATGTCAACGTATAAATAGAAAATTATGCAGCAATAGTGCGAGCAAGTCATTCATAGCGGGCTGGGCCTCCCAACTATAGGGACTTTTATTAGGTCCGTTGTAAGGACGTAGAGGACCATCCGGTCGGAGGTAAAATCCCGCCAAAAAACTCGGTATTTGTCCGGTATTGCTAGGTATTATTTGATAATGACGAGGAATACCGCTCTGTGAAGACCAATACCGAGTTATACCGAGCTATACCGAGCAATACCGAGTTGTACTGAGTTTTTTGTAGGAAAAACTGGTACAACTTTTGTATAACTCGGTAT